GCTGTATTCGCTAGCGATGACGGGATGAAGGAGGGGTGAAGTTCGTCCTTTGGTGACTGCATTCCCATAAAATCCCCGAGGCATGAACGATTCGTCCTTTAGGGAGTGACTGTCAGGGCACAAGTCGTTTTAGGGACAAAATGTCGGGCTACAAAAGTGTCTGCAGTAACTGGTTCCTTACTCTTTTTTGGCTCGTACCTGCCAAATTTTTCGCCATAACCGTTGATATTCATTGACAAAACATTTCTTGGTTGCTGGTTCAATTATTGAGCGTTTGAAGGAATTTGACATGCACAAATTTGACAACACATACATATGTGGGAGCCTCGAATACAACAGACAAAATAGAATAGACAGAGCTTACGAAGGTGATTAATAAGCGTAAGGTATCCGATGTGAGAAGGTATAACATGAAGAAAATTGAACACGCCCTGAAGAACGGAGGAAGTGTCAGAGCGGGGAAGAGGAAACTTGGGGCAGGAAAATGAAAACATATGTATTGCACTAGGGACAAGGAAGGCAAGGTAACTACCAGTATGAATAGGATAGATAAAATAGCGGAGGAGTTTTACAGAGATCTGTAATGTAGCCGACACAACCACGACCGTATTGTAAGAACTAATGACAGTATCCCATATGGCATCCCACCAGTAATGACAGAAGAAGTCAGAAAAGCCTTGGAGAGAATGCAAAGAGGCAAAGCTGCTGGTGAGGACCAGGTAAAATTAGATCTGCTGGAAGAAGGAGGACAGATTGGGCTAGAAAAACTAGCCACCATGTTCACGAAGTGACTCATCACAGGAAGAGTGCCAGAATCTTGATGAATACTAATATCATCCGAATACACAAGAAAGAAGATGACAAGGACTTGAAGAGTTACAGGTCGATCAGCTTGCTCCCCATCGTTTACAAGCTATCTAGGAAGGTAATCGCTAACAGAATTAAGACCCCATTAGAATTCAATCAGCCAAAGGAACAAGCAGGATTTAGAACGGGCTACTCAACAAGAGACCACATTCATACTATCAATCAGGTAATAGAGAAATGCTCACAAAATAGCCGACCACTAGTCTTTCATAGAGTGTAAGAAGGCTTTCGATTCAGTAGAAATATCAGCAGCCATGCAGACACTGCGGAATCAGGGCGTCGGCGAAGCATCTGTAAACATCCTGGAAGAAATCTACAGGGGATCAACAACTACCACAGTGCTTCATAAAGAAAGCAACAGAATACCAATCAAGAAGGGCGTAAGGCGGGGGGATACAATCTCCCCAATGCTATTTACCGTGTGCTTACGGTAGGTTTTCAGAGGCCTAGAGTGGGAAGAGTTAGAAATAAGAGTTAATGAAAAGTACCTTAGTAACCTGCGCTTTGCTGATGACATTGCATTGCTGAGTAACTCAGGAGATGAATCACCACTCATGATTACGGAGTTAAAAAAAATAGAGAAGAAAGGTTGGTCTTTAAGTTAATCTGCAGAAAACGAAAGTAATAGCACATAGGTAAAATTATATATACGCAGACCGATGAAAGCTTTATTTACACCCACTTTACAGGTGATGACTCAGTCGTCGCGTAGCATTCCGATAGCGTAGCACTTCGTTCCAGTAGTGGTTCACGTTTATCTGCAGCACGAAGATGATTCGGTGCACCGCAAGTGATAGCAATCACAACGCCAAAATATACAACAAGTCCACAACTCAACACTGCCAAGAGTTAGCTCACCCATCAACGAGAGCCCCACGTCAATGCATTGATACAACTTGGACGCCAGCACATTCTTTTTTTAGGGGGGGGGGGACTTTGGTTATTGGTATGCCATATTAAGGATATTACTTAACTGATTCCGCATGGTTGCCATATTTGTCCTCATCATTCATACTGAAATAAACTGTTAACAGTTGATTTCCTTAGCGAACAATTTGGTGCATTCAGAGCATTCCGTCAAGGCCGCCACGGCTCCGGAAAGTTTCATGGTAGTAAGTGTTGCTCCCTGTGGTTCGAAAGTTGCTTTTTCAGTTTTCTCATGGAACCATCATCTTCCAGTTAATCCCTCTGCAGACTAACGATCGAGGGGACGAAATGCAGCACTTACTGCCACTTCACTGTTAAAGTGTATATAAAAGCAACCAGAGTACGCTTCAGAATCGAACAGTTTATATGTTTCATGGCTTGCGGTGCTTTGGGCAAGCTTCGCCAATTTTCGCGCCTCTTTGTAGTGAAGTAATAAATCGACAATCACTACAAATTGAACACAAGCAACGAGCTGCGTACTTGTGTATTGCGGAAATATTAATGCACTGACGATTTTGCTGCCTACCTCGTACTGAAAGCAAATGTGTGATGTTGTGACCATGTGTTTAACTTATTATATATGTTAATATTTTTCTTTGAGTGTTTTTCGGTCTATGTCGATACATGCAGAATATGCTATTTTAAATGTCTACATTTGAATTTATTGTATCTTATTGAACTTCTGCTCCTCTGATTGTGTTCGTATGAACTTACATTACCTATTTGAAGTTTGAGATAGTGTTCGGTGACACTGTGTTTCTACCTCTTATATTTTCATGTATAACACTTTCGGTCATTACTTTGTCATTATATTTTACTACGTATTTTCGCTGGGAGAAACGTAACCGGCTCAGGTTTGATCGGCCGGTTCCTGCCAGCGGTAAGTTATCTTTTGGTCTACACTATGTCGTAATCACCATAAATGGCATCACCCATAATATTCTGTCCTTTGTAGTGGGTCAGTTCTGATTAATCCTGCTAATCGAGAGTATTCCAAGTGCTGCCATAATGGCACCAACCTCTCCTACTCGTTATTACAAAAGAAAAAGTCAACACTGCAGTAATATCAGGACTTGTAGAAAAAAAATGAATTATATGTATAATGCTAAGCAGTTAGCAACACGGAAAATTCAAGCACGACTACAACTTATGTAGATGCCTCAATAAAGTGAGCGAAAAATGTAGTTGTTTCAAAGATGGTGAAAGAATGTGCGTACAGGATTCGATGAGCATGCATTCGAAAGCACGTGGTGATTAGCCCGAATGATATATGAACTTGTTCGTCGTCAATTGGCTGGGAGCAGAGCGCCCAAGAAGAAGTACAGGACCAAGAAGTACAGTACGAACCTTCGGTGCTTTCGATCTGGGCTTCAGCCACGAGAACGTTTTCTATGTAGTTTGCATGTACCTTAATGAAAGTAAAAGAATTAAGCCTTTAATTGCGTAATTACTATTTCTAAAAAAATCCAACATACACAAGAGCTTTGTTTAGCCATGCTGATTCCTATTCAAGGTAATGAATGATTGTCTGATCTGAACTAGTGACAAACAACTATTGCACTCCTTTCATTCTGCCTAGGGTGTCTTTTTTTTCCTTTCTTTTTTTTTCTCTGGTGGGCGGTTTCGATATTGAATTAAAAAAACCTACTGAATTAAGTCATAAATTCTTGGCCGATCCCCCTGAGTGGGTACGAGCCATGTCTGTGGAATCATCATCATCATTATCATCGCCACCATCATCATCATAATCATCATCATCACCAATGAGCGACGAACACAGGCGCAGTGTGTTCCTCCTGCACCGGTCCTCATCTTTTTCCCGTGCTATGCTAGAAGCCAGTTTCTTTTCGCTCCCCTGCTTACCGGGGGTAAAGGTGCGAAGAAAAGGGCTTTTTGAAAGCGAGATGATGGGTCCATGGCCGCGATCAGGAGTAATAAAAACACAAAAATCTAAACAAAAAAAGAAGCGCGCCGTCATAATTCTGTGTACTGAAAAATGACATCACCTAAAGTGTCCGACAGTTTGTAGGTATGGGGCATAATGGGCGTCTTCTTTAGAAGATTTGGCGAAGGGGGCCAGCCATCCTGCAGCTCTCTTCACCGTTATGATGATAAGAACTACTTAGCAGTACTTATAAAGTCACGGCGACCACTGGTCATCTAGGATCACAGCCTGAATTTGAAGAGAAGATCAGATTAGGAAGTTTGCGGAATGGGAGAGGCCTTTGTCGTGCAGTTGGTGGAGTCAAGCTGATGATGATGATTAGGCTGAGAAACAGATGTTTCTTCGGTTTCGGCCAACGGCCCTACAGACTTGTGCGCGTGAAGGTCGCGCTATTTCCGACATGGTTCAAGTGCATTTACGGCCATGTAGCAAAGTGCATGAAACAATTTTGGTCAAATTTCATATACATATAATGTAGTATAAAGCTGTTACATCCAGAGCACAGACATAGCGAGGGGAGAAAAGGGTTGGGGGCTGATACCCTCCCCTTTTGCCAAGGCTTTTCAGTTTTGCTTTTGTACAGCTTCCCGCACACAAAATCACATGCAAAGATATGCATAAAGAATGTTTGAAACCACCTTCCGAAAACATTTCTAGCATTGGAGCCGCTGATGCAGGGCTCCAATGATGCCGCAACAACAGACCGGAAGTTCAATGACCGGCAAGAACGTTGCCATGAAACTGAATGAGGGGAGCAAAGCTATTACGTGTTTCAGTTCATGATAAAGTGACAATGACACTCGCGGTTGCCATACCACGATAGATTCCGGCTTTCGAACTCAATTGAGTCACCTGTGTCGCAACTTGTTTATACACCGCTTCAATGAAAGCAGCCGCGCTGACTCAAGCACAAGTACGCGCGCGTCTAATTATGTTTTATAATACTTGTTTGCTTAGTCCGCGCCACCGGCCGAGAATCGCTGCTCGAATATTGTTGGCCCGCAGCCATCTTACTCCGCGAAATGGGGTCACGGTTCACGGGCATGCACGACGCCTCAGAACGCCGTTTGTAATCTCGCGCCCTCATTCCGGCACGTGCGAAACGCAGCGCCAGCGCGATGAGCATCGCGCGCACGCGCGTTTTGGCCCCCGAAGCTGCATGACGTCACCTCTCTGCGAGTACGTCACGCGGACGGCGCGGCGAAAGTTGCGTCACAGGGCGTGATTCACATCCGCGAGGCGGCGCCGCGGTCGCTATCAGTGGCGGTGGCAGTTGCCGTCGAGTCAGAAAATTCACCGCCGGACTTGGCCTGTGAGTGCGTGCGCGTGCTACGGTGAAGCGGCGTCGTCGTAAAGGAGGCGACCCCTTCGCTTGTCAAGAAGGAACCCGCAGGACTCGTAACGATCATGGCGGGAACGCGACAGTCTCTGCTGCTCACGGACGAACAGCGTGAAGAGCTCGGCGGACAGTTCGAAACGGTGAGTGGAGCCGAAAAGGTGTGTGCACCTCGAACAGGTGGTCGGAGCACCCGCGTCATCGACGCCTCGACGCGCGCTACTCGTAGCTTTGGCGCCCCCCCCCCCCGTCCCCTTACTTTCGCGAAAAACAGGGAGGGGGTCGTTGATGGTAGGGGGGGGGGGACTTCTTGCGAAGAGCTGCATTCTTGGGGGGCCACGCGGCGGCCGACCTGCCGCCACCGCTCGTTGCACACTTGGCCTCCGTATCTGAGGCGCCACCCGGGAATTCGGTACCGGTCAAGCCGTGCCATGCCGGAGACCTCGCGGGTGGCGGTGTATTGTGTGCGCACGTTGTCTGGCGACCCTTTCGTGCGCTTCCCGCGGGAAAAATAAGCGCCGGACGGTCATTTTATTCTTTTTGTTCCGTTCATACTGCCGGCTGAGAGAACAGTCGCGCCGCTGCCGTTTCCTCTGCGTGCTCGCAGCGTGTCGCTTTTATTTTTCGCACGGTTGTGTACTCCACTTTCCGGGATATGTGGAAGTTAACGGCAGACAGGCACAGGTAGTACGCGAAATTATCTTTCAAGCCCGTTCGAAGTGAAACGCTGTACATTTTCGGCACTCGCCACACCTGTCGGGGCTTCGTTGTTTCGCGCTCAGAGTGCTGCCGTCAATGCCACGAATGGGCGAAGCTCGCGACTTTATAGATCCTTACAGTTGAACACTAGATGTTACGGTATAGCGTCTCCGTTGATTGTATAGCGCAACTTGTTTCATTGCTAGAATGTATAGCGCCCTGGATACTGCATGCTTTCGTCCGTCTGTGAGGCCATACTGTCAAGCGTGATCGGAATTCTCGTAAACACTGGTGATACCGCATGTATAGCTTTTCAAATGCGCGTGATAAGGTTGGATACATAAAGAAGCTACACGTTTACTGCGAGTGGAGTTCACAACGGCTGCTCCGTTAGCGCAGTGGGATTTATCGGAGTCGGTGCGGAGCACGGGAGTGGGAAAAGGTTTGTGGTCAGGGGCTCCGGAACCGGGGAGGGGGGCGACACTGCTACAACCCCCCTTACTCCTCGCCTTAGCAAAGACAGATATGTATAAACATCCCTTAAATATATATATATATATATATATATATATATATATATATATATATATATATATATATATAATTCCTGTCCACAAACGTCGCGCCCCCACACTGCAGGTATACTTCCGGAGCCCCTGTTTGTGGTGACCTCGCCGCTGACGCGTAGCCAGACAAATTTTTATCTCGAGCCCAGAAGATAAATCCTCGTGTCGCACTTAGTACGGCGGCAACTTTTGCGACTGTAAACATTAGTAGTGCTCCGCCCTCCTCGCCCTCGTAAATGTGCTAGAACATTGTAGTTTCGATGCAGCCCTACTGGTCTTATGGTAAAGCTTTAAAGATACTTCGCGTTACAGGCGCCAAGCACAAATGTATGCGACAAAGTAGCCTTCCTCTGACGGCGTTAGCTTCGAAAGCAACTGCCGTTTGTAAAATGATGCCGCTAACTATTGAGCCTATACACACCTATGTATGCAGCCGTGTACAGCCCCACAATGAGGTTACTGCACTACTTTGCAGCAGTAGTAAAATGATAACGGCGAATGTTGGCGTAGCGTACATGCACCGATAGTGCGTCCGCTTCATTTTGCGAGTCAGTCGTACAGCTTGACAGGCGCGGCATGCCGGTGGGTGGTAAGAGTTGCTTGTGCCGTGAGGGTGAAAGTATACTGCTGCACTTTTCATGAGCCGAGTAACTGCTGGGCGATTTTCCAAGGTCGAAGGGCGAGGCGCATCGTCCTTATTATATACAACAAAACAGAGGCGATGTGGGCTGGTTGGTATTGCGTCTTTAAATAAATAAATAAAGAAATAATATATACATTCGTGCGTGCATAGTCCGTTGACGCTTCCTTCAGCCAGAAAGCCGCAGTTTTCTCTCGTCATTGCTTTTTTTTTACATGATATGCAGCATCACTAATTTTTTTATACGCAGCGTCTGCTGGCTGTGCATCTCTTGTATTTTTGCATGCACCCTGATTACGCAGCAGCTCCATGACGCAAGACTTACCAATTGACGCGTTCGTTGAATATTGAGTCATAGGAATCGTTTATAAATAACTGTTTTAGTATGCTTAATGTTTTGTTTTAAGTATGCTTAACAAACTCGTTGTTGCCCCGCCGCAGTGGTCTAGTGGCTAAGGTACTCGGCTGCTGACCCGCAGGGCGCGGGTTCGAATCCCGGCTGCGGCGGCTGCATTTCCGATGGAGGCGGAAATGTTGTAGGCCCGTGTGCTCAGATTTGGGTGCACGTTAAAGAACCCCAGGTGGTCTAAATTTCCGGAGCCCTCCACTACGGCGTCTCTCATAATCATATAGTGGTTTTGGGACGTTAAACCCCACATATCAATCAATCAATCAAACTCGTTGTCCATATCAACACGTCCGGTTTCGAAGCTGCCTCAACTATAGTAACAGTGTAAAAGTTTGAAAGGTGAATTCTCTGTTCTTATGCAGTCTGCTGTTCTTGACTAACGTTTCGTGCTCGATTTTTTTTTTTGTTTTCGCGAGTGACACTATTGATTTGAGCAGTAATTTTATTCAGCCTGGTTTCGCAATGCGTGCAAAACTTTTTTCCAACAGTTGCCTCAATCACAAATTTAATTCGATCAATGAAGCGCATCATGCCATCAGTTTCCCTAGGGTGCACGTGTGAAGTGTGTGCGTTGCGAATAATGAAACGTCTAGAGGAAAAGCACAATAAAAAAAAAGCAGGAGCGTAAATCAAGGCTGAGCTCGTACACTGGGGAATTAAGAGGAGAAATGTTTGACAGAAAAGCTGTCTCAAAGCTTGCCTAGTCTGTAGGGACTTCCAAAACTGCCCTACACCTCTCTAATGTAAGCAAATGCTTTTCACCACCGCGCAAAGCACGGTGCTCTGCGAAGCTGATCGGTTTCAAGCTTATTTATTGCTGTATCTAGGCAGAACTTGGCACTAGCGAAGTTGTAGCAAGTATGCTTGGTCTCCGTCTTTGCCTTACCATCCTTAGTTCGCCACATGTGGTACTCACCTGATAAGGACTGCGGTGTTCTGCTGATGGCTCAAACGCTCCATACTTGCTGCGCTATGGCTACATGTTGCCTTTTTTTTTTTTTCATTCTAAGTGGAGAGTGGTTGGATTTACTCAATTGTTGTGGCGCATTCCCGTTTAAAGTGATCATGGTTTCGTGATAGGAGATACGAAAACAATTTTCTAAACAGATATTCGCTGCTAAAAGAATAAACCACTGTGGTGCCACCGACTCTGTAAATGTTCCGTCCTTGATGTCAAAGATGGTTATAGCAGCCTCGCATCCTTAAGAAATGACGGCAGCATTTTTGTTGCTTTCTAGTAACTGCTATGGGCAGCTCCATGGTCCCCGCCTTGTCGACGCTGAAGGCATTTCCTAGGGCGGTAGAACGTCAATTCACATTCGAGTTGCTAAAAATCGTGCGCTTTGTTTAAACTGCCATTTTTTTCGTCGCCTCAGCCGTAATTTCGCTGTGCTTCTCCGTTTGCCTTGAATGGCTGCCAAATGTTGTGGACGTGGCACGTGAACTGACTGTTTACTCATGGTGCCGCCCCTTTCCGTCGCCGGGTTACGTCATGGCCCGTGATTGAACACGCTATTTTTATGTACAGCGCATAATAGTGTACATCATCACTCTAGAAACATTTCTTACACCGCAATCGTGTCTGATGAAAAAATTAAAAAAATACGAGCTCTAGCTTGTCTTCTTTCTGCGTTGTTCGTTCCTTCGTTGGACAGTGATATTTATTTATTTATTTAGCAATACTGCAGAGCACGGCGTGCTCCGTGTAGGAGGGGTTGTACATTGATTGCAGAATAAAGAAAAACTATATCGCAATCACATCGAAATAAAAAATAAAAAAGCTATAAAAATGGGAACACAAGAACAATGTCAAGTAAAATCATGAAACATGATTTTTCAGTTCGCATACAAAATCATTGGCATCAAAAACAGTGGAGGGCAGTTCTAAGGAAAAAAAAAACTATTTATGCGATTTCGTTTTAGCAAAAATTGGGGCAAGTACCGTACTGTGAATGTGTATACTCTTCCTAGGTGAGTGGGGACGTATGCAATCAGGCATGGTTGCTTCTTTAGTTCTGGTAAGACAATTGTGCAGAGAAATCAACCCGTTGACCTCTTTGCGCGATTGTAACGATGGGATGTTGTGTTGCCTCGTTAATGAGGAAGGCAAGTCCGTCATTCTATACTTCTTAAATATAAAGCGCACTGCTTTTCTTTGAACCCGTTCTATGCGAGGCTTTTGTTTTATCCTGGCATTATTATTTAAATGGACGCATTGCCTAACTAATGGGGATGGGAGATTGGGCGAGTTGGTTAATGTTGATCTTTAAGACGTAAGCTATAAAGACGGAAGCAGAAGTCATTGAGGAATGCATGGCATGTGGCGATGAGAAAAACAACACAAATATGCCCGATGGATATCAAGGGGTGCGATGCTCAGTCAAAGTTCGCAGAGTTGTACATAATAAAAGAAAATGTTCAGGCATAAAATAAACCGGCTTTCGCAGAACATCATAGATTCCTCGTCATTGTGAGCAGCTCTCGTAAAGTGATGGACATGAAGATATTGTGATGGTGATGGCCATGACGTCATAAGTCAACTGATACAGTGCTTCCCCGCTCCCCATTTTCTTTTTCCTTCTAGATCAATCTTTGTCGCATTTTAGAAAAGTCACTGTGTTGCTCCTGGCATCCGAGTTAGAGCCGAGTTTGAGTAGACGTGTTGTAAAAGTTCTTTGAAGGCGAGCTGCGCGAAAATGGACTATCGGCGTCGAAGCGAGTGGTGTGGAGGAGCATCATTACGTGGTGACTTCATCGCATGCCACATATCGTCGCTTGGTCGAAAGTGTGCCAATCGGGCAGGTAGTGCAAAATAGTTTCAGGCGCAAA